ATTGCCTGTAGGTCCCTGCGGGAGGCTGGTCCTCTCTGCTGCTGTGACAAGCAGCCTGTTCCCTTCAACCAGTCCAGTTTCCCAAGACCTTAGCAATTCGCTCATACACACACATGGCTAGTGCTTTCCTGTCAAGTTGAGTCTCATACGGAACTGAGGTCTTACACCTTGATTCTGTAAAGCCAAATACTCCAGAACCACCACAGCCAGAACACTGAGACAGCCCATATATAACACGGGACTGGAGAAACCAGTCTTTGTGCTAGCTCTGCTGTTGATGTTGAGTGATCCTGGGCAAGTATCTGTATTTCTCCACCTCAAGAGCATCATGGAAAACCTGGAGTATAATGAAAAGATCCTAGAGGCTCTCACCACATTCAGTATTCTCTAATTCTGTGAAACAGAAACAGTCATAACCATTAGCAGAAAATCTTCTCCTGGCCCATAGAATAAAGAATTTCTCAGAAGTCCTGGGAGCAAGAATCTATGAGCAAAAGTTTTTCACCTCTTTTAGTTTATATGAAAGATGCTTTATATGCGCATGGCACTCTTTAGGGGCTGTTCAACCAGGGGCCATGGGACTATTCTTCACTAAAGATTTAGCACACATAACCACAGCACCAGCAATAGTCCCTGCTGTATACTGGTGCCTACCATGTACTCAATGTACTGAACCATTCGAATCTATCTTATTCTAGCCATGCTCCCAATACAAATGCAAATATTGCATGAAATCCACTGGCATGGTCATTTTTTGGCATGGCCATTTTGAAGCCCATAATATGAAGAATGCCAATGTAGAGGTCCTAAGACAGTATAAGTGCATTATAGGAACACTGACACCAAAGGCACGCAGTAAGAGAGCTCTGGCAAAGTGGGGCACAGGAGTATGGCTGATGCAATAGGAAGAGTTTATGACCAAAAGGAGGTCAGATTCATCTCTGGCCTGTTCTTTGGCTGTCCCTCCATCAGGTCTCCCCTGTAGCTCGGAAGAGCCTCATGTGTCCTGTACTGACTGGACATTTTCTTGGTGACCTTCTAATTCTGTGCCAGGCCTGTCAGTCTCTACCATTGAATTTACCAGCTCTCTGGACTGATTCTGCCTTTCTTCAGGCAGGTGAACTGAGCCCTCGAGTTCTGCATGTGTAAGTCATCATTACAATAAGTAAATGACTGAGTGACTTTCAGTTAGGTGTCAGAGCTCTGCCTGCTGCCTTGGGCAAGCACAATCTGCCTCTCATCAGATGACTTTTCCCTAGGGAAACCAGTGCTATCTGTGCCTGGGTGTCTGTGTGGTCTCAAAACCAGAAAACTGTCACCTGTGGATTCAACTGGTTGCTCCAAGTACAAGATTTACAGTTTAAGTGAAAATGCTATAGACTTTCTTCTTAAAATGCCTAGCAGATTTGATTCTAGTTTTTAATTTGTGAGTAGCACAGAGGTTATTCCAAAAATTGTATTCAGACCCTTCTTCCAAGTTGTGGGGATAGTACCAATAATATCCACCCACTGTGACTTCTGAAGACCATGACTCCCGCCCTCAGTATCCACACCCTGGGGTCAGTTTCATGATCTGTTATTCCTCCAATCTCTCCAAATCAGGAACTACAAAGGGACTCAGGCAGCGTCTGCATTCAGTAGTAGCTTTCAGGGGTCTTTTCCAAATGGGCAGACTCAATGATATCCCTCCGAGGCCTCTTACTCTACCCAGTTCATCCTACATAGATTTGTCCTTCTTGGGGACAAATCCTGGTCAGTCCAGCTAAACTTGAGTGTTGAAAGAATCACTGGTGGCCTCAAAGTTCTGAGCAAATCACTGGGTCAGAACTATCCCCATTTGTGGCCCATCAGAAGTCTCAGGCTTAATCTCCAATGGCCAGGAGGGCCACCACTGACCTGAAGGATGCTAGGAGAAGTGAGCAGCTCTCTAGGAAAAGTCGCTATAGCTGAAAGTGGTGATCTGGCCACCGAACAGCAGGTGAGACCAGATAGGTGGGAATCTGGGGGAAACAAGCTAGAGAGATTCTTATACAGGCTTTCAGATACCATGTTTCAAGGCAAGCTCTGTCTCAGGACAGATGGTAGGAAGAATTTCTACACTGTCAGTATACTTGACAGATGGCAGGATAAATTTCTCCCCTGTCAGCACATCTGAGTTTCTCTGAAGGCTTCCACACCATGCCAAATCAGGCAGGGCTGCCTACATGACATGCCTCTCCCCCTTTCAAGGCTGAAAGGTCCAATCCTCACTAACGAGTCTCCTAGGACTGGCCTCCAGGGACCTCTACCACAGACACAAGCACCACCCAACATAGAGTGAGTGGGCTTGGAACGTTTTACCCACCCCATACCCAAGGATACGACAGCATGCTCCTTGGTACACACAGCTCCCTCAATCATAACCTTTCCTCTTGCACATGCTTGGAAATCCCTGGACTGAATTTCATGAAGGCTCAGTACTATGAAACCTTACAAGCCCTGGGGTGCTGTAGGGTCTCAATGGACAGCAGATCTAGAAATGTACTGTCTTTTCCTGCAGACAATTCAGCCTGGAGAGTAGTGCCACATGCTTTAAAAAGAATCGCCACTTCTAAGATGGGGCTACCCCATAGTAGGTATGAAACCAGCTGATATATGCCCAAAGTTAGTGAAGTTTGCCTGTTTGTGGTCATGGGCCAACAGTAGGCACTGGCACCAGGTCTCACCTCCCCCCATCCCCGCTTGGCTCTTCTCCTGAACCTGCTTCTGGCAGATCACACAAATTTATGGGATTTAACCACCTTGGCCTCAGCTCTTCTGTTACAAATGGCAACTGCGGATGCTTTGTACTTTGCTGCAAGTTAGGAAAAACTCACCTGGGAGCACAGAAGGGGAAAAGCATTCACAGGTGTTTTAGTAGACCAGTGTGATTTTTGCTTGTTTGTTTGAAAGGTGGGAATGAAAAGGCAAACACAACATTTGGAAGAACCATGTGCTCCTGTTTTAGAGTTTTCTGAGCTTCTGGGCACATGCCCATCCAGCTTCATATAGTCCAGTTTACCTTCTACCTGGGCACTCCATGGCTGGCCCCTCACATGTAACCAGCACCCCATGGCTGCTCAGTGTGCCAGGCCCCAGGCTTGCTGGAGCTGGAACATTGTTGGTCTGGGCATTTCTGTTGACAGGAAGCTTGGGGAAAGTCAGAGGAGGAGAAGGCTGCTTCATGTAAGCAGGGTGCCAAGAGGCCTCCCAGTGAGCATAGATTCTACTGCCTCTTGCTGGTGTAGGAGGGTTATTAGCAGGGGGTAAACCTGGCCCTCCAGTGAAAGAGAAACATCCAAGACAAAGTGATTTTCAAACAGACATGGAGATACAATACCAAGTAGTCACTGCCCTCTATATCCGATGGGGTTAATCACCAGTAAACACCAGTTTCACCAGGGAAGCACAGCTTTTCCAGCCTTGTAAATGCTTCTTCCTCCCCAGAAGCTTGGACGGAAGCAGCAAGAGGCACTGAGGACCCAGTGCCACCTGGAGGTCCTTGAAGTAAGCTTGCTCATGGCTTAGTACACCAGGCTCCTTTTGAGAACTGGGGTGAGCCCACCTGTGGTCTCCAGAGAGGCATGGCTTCTAGAGGGCCAGAGGGTCAGCACTAATCTCACTTGAATGTGTCTGAAATTCAGGTAGGTGCTCGGGAAAACTTTGGCCAACACATGAGGTCCAAACTGATTTTACATGGGAAATCTTTAGAAGAAGAATCCCAGAATATGGGAAACCAACAATGAATGACAGCTGATCAGAGGTTCCCTATCCAGAGCGAGACACAGATTACTAAATTTCACAGTAGTCTGTGTGTGTGTGTGTGTGTGTGCGCGCGCGCGCACGCACGCAAGTGCATGCACTGATATCAGGGCTTGAACCCAAGGCCTGGGCACTGTTGCTGAGGATCTTTTGTCCAAGATTAGCACTCTACACTTGAGCCACAGCTCCATTTTTGGCTTTTTTTGAGTAGTGTATTGGAGAAAGGAGTCTCACAAACTTTTCTGCCCAGGCTGGCTTCAAAAAGCGATCCTCAGTCTCAGCCTTCTAAGTAGCCAGGATGACAACTGTGAGCCACTGTTACCTATCAGTTTCAAAGTAAATTTTGAAGACAATGTGAACAAAGCCTTGAATACCTTCCTTATACAACTAATTTTTATACAGATTACATGTTCAAACAAAAGTATATGAGAATATCACATTTAATAGAATACACTATTAAAATAATTTCACCTTTTCATTTGACTATTAATTAATTTTTAAAATACGTGGCTACTAGAAAATTTTAATTACATTTGTTGTGTATATTTCTTCTGGATAACACTCATTATGAAAAGTGGATTCTAATTCTGACTAATCCAGCCTCTAGTTAGCTGGCTAATGGGGCCAGCTCATTGGCTCAGATTTCTTTAATGAAATCAGCCCAGTTTCTTTCCTTTATAGCTAAAAGGAAAACTGAAAATGCTGTCCACATAGACTGTGAAGTTGGCTTCCTCTTGTCTTTCTCATTACTTATTAGGAAACAGGCCTGACCCATATGGTTGAACAGGTTGTGGATTGTACAAGAATGACACAAATGAAGGAGGGGTGCTATTCTCACTATGTCCATACAGATTTATATATTTATTACTATAGTATCTTGGCCTACAGCCATAACAATCTTATTTTAACCCAATTATTTTCAATGATTTATGATAATTTTCCAGCCAAAGAATTAAGATGTGTTGAGGAGGGGGAACATCATTTTCTTATTGGCCATGAGAACTGTAGGGGGCTTCTTTTGGCACTGGAAGGACCTTGAGGCTGGCTTTCATTTCTGTCAGAAGCATGGTGCACCTAGGCTTGACCTAAGACAAGACCTCAGTGTTCATACTCAAGTCTCAATTGTGCAAAACACCAATGGCATCTGTGCCAAAAGGTCACAACAACCCACCTCCCCAAAGCAAACCCTGGCCAGCCCAGGGACTAGGATGGACATTTACCTTTTCATTCTTCTTGTCCTCTGACTTGCACCCTGCATTGGTGGGGCTGGGTGCACACAGGCTGCTGACGGGTCCCCCGGCAGCTTCCCCATTGAGGTTGGCAGCACTGACATTGGGAGGGGTGATGGCTGATGCTGCAGATGTGAGGGGGATAGCCGGCCGGGGGCACATCTGCATCGGAGGCTGCTGGCTGTGCTGTGGGGACACCATGGAGTGGGGCCTGAGGCTGGTGGCAGACAAGCGGGATGGAGAGTTTTGAGTACGCAGAGGTGACACGGTAGCAGTGGGTCGATCCTGGGCCTGGGCTGAGGGGTGGGTGGCTAGAGAGATGAAGGATTGAAATGTTAGTATGAATCGTATTATGCCTCTACAGCTCCACATCCCCCCAAGCCTACTTTCCAGGAAAGACAAAGTTCCCTCTAAATCAAATACTACATATTGACATCAGTCCTATTCCTATTTGTGCTTGTGATTGATTTTTGAGGAACTGGCTCCCAACTGTATACAGAAGAGAACAGCAGTCAATGGAGGATAATGACCTATAACCTGGGCTGGGCTGACCCAAGCAGAGACAGTTCCTTAGGTCAAGAGCCTCAGCATGGCGATTTTTGCATTTTTCTGACAAAGGAAGTATAGATCAAATTGTGATTATTATGTACTACCAGGGTTTGTGGTATTCCTGTTTTCTGAGGATAGAATCAAGTACATACAATGTAAAGGAAAATATCCCCAGCTCCCCCTCCTCAAATGTCTTGACTATAGAATGTACTTGTGAATCCTAGCAGTGTTCATAGAGCAGGAAGCTCCTACACACCGCAGTCCTCTATCTGTGAGTTGCCCTTCTTCTCAGAGCAGAGTAGGAAGAACTAAGTGGCCCTGTCTACCAGGTGAAATTTTTTAAACTGTCTGAGTTATGATTTAAGGGCAATTATTTGAAGTTTTGGACTTAGTGTTGGAGCCTGCCCACAATACGTGACCCAACATTTAATAGGAGGAGGAGGTCAAACAATTATGCCAATCAATGAAGCCTCTAGGGTCCTTCCATCACCCCATAATCCCTTACTGGGTCATCAGCTTCTTGGATAATTTATGTGCCTCTGCCCTGCAGATGAACTCTCCTTCACCCCAGCCCCATACCAACCAGGCAAGAGCCATTGCACTCAGCCTCAGAAACTCAGTCTTGAGGGCTACTCAACATTTTCCTGTCCAAGGGCTCTACATGGATCACCCTCACAGCTTCTGTGTGGCCACTGTGTCACCCTTGCTAAACCCAACATAAGCAGTGTGGCTCATGCTTACAATGCTAGCTACTCAGGAGGCTGGGATCCAGAGACCCACAGTTTATACTCAACCACTGGCAGAACAGTCTGAGAAATACCACCTCTAATTAACAAGAAGAAAGCTAGGCTGTAGGCATCATTCCAGTAGTAGAATACCACTTGTGAGCAAGCAAGCCAAATGAACCTGAGGCCCTGAATTAACACCCTAGTCCTGTCAAAAAAAAAAAAGAAGGAAGGAAGGAAGGAGAAAGAGAAAAAGAAAGAAAGGAAGGAAGGAAGGAAGGAAGGAAGGAAGAAAACAAAGAAAGAAAGAAAGAAAGAAAGAAAGAAAGAAAGAAAGAAAAGAAAAGAAAGTGACATAAACCTAGTGCAGAAAGAAGCTAAGATGTTGTTCCGCAAAGTTCTGAGCCCACCATCATATCATATCTGTAGCTTTCATCATTTACTCTCCCTTCAGCCACTGTGGCTTCCTGGTGGATCAACTGGCCCTCTTACCTCAGAGACTGGTGCCAACATGCATGTCCCATAGTCTACCCGTTCCCCTAGAAGCTAGCAGAGATTCTCTGGGGATTTCACTAAGCTTGGGCCCCATCTGCCACCATCTAAAAAGACTGTCTAGAGAAACCTGCTCTCTGCAACCTCCACTTCTCACTCTAGCTTTCTTCTCTCCTGAGGCAGTGTCTCTTAATAGTCTGGGTAATTTATCTGTTTATTATATGTTGATTAATTTTACATGATCTAGCCCCCACTACCACACAAACTCCAGCAGGGTAGGATCATGGACCATCAAATCACTAATTAAATACATCCCATGCCTCTGGAATATAGGAAAGTGCTCAGTACAGTTTTGAGTAAATGAGTGATTATGTGAAAGAGGAAGACCCCCCGCTTGAACATCATTACACTTTTCACACAATTGAAACTGTAGAGAAGTAAAAGTGCCACGAGAGGACAGCTTATTGTGTGCCCTGGCAGGATTCCAGAATCCCATGGTCTTCTGTGGGATTTACCATTGATTCCCCACATCCTGCGTTCCCAGGCTGTGCCTTCCTAGACTACCATACCACTAATGATCCTATGCATTTGTGATGCCTAACCAGACTGCTTGTTCTTTGACAAATCCGACCAACAGGTAAAGGCTGGTTGGAAAAGCATTATTTCACAGTCTCTTTCCTTTCTACTGGTCTTTCAAGTATCAGTGTGCAAACTATAGCTATGCTATGAAGCCATGGCATCAGTCCACACTGTTTCCTGCTCTGTCCTTGGTACTTGGGGTCATGTGGAACTCATTCACTTCTGGAGAGATCTCAGTGGTTATGCCTTTGAACCTTTTCTCTCTCCCATCTTCTCTGTTTTCTATTTTCAAAACTCTTGCTAGAATTAAATGGGGTTCATCAATTCATCTTTAATGTTTACACTTCCTGTTTTTCATTTCTGCTTGGTGATCTGAATAGATTACTCTGTACAAATATCCAGTGTTATTAATCCCATCTTCAACTATGCCCTCTTATAAATGATTTTCTTCTCCTAAATTTCACCGTGACCTTTTTTCCCATCCAGCTATTTCTGATTCATGGACATTCAACATGCCCCCCACCACACCTTTAGCAACTTGTATTTACTTTTTGGAAGGGTTATTATTCATCCTTTTTTTGTCTTATAAGGTCTTAAACATTTATTTCTAGATATTTCTAGAATTTGTCTCTGTCTTTTGTTGATTTCTTAGGCTTACTGGCTATCTTTATGTGGTAGTATCCTTCCTGTACTTTGAAATCTAGTATGATAGCTCCCTTTTGATGCTGAGGGTCTTGACACTGTTGCCCTTCATCTTTCCCCTGGGTCTGGAGGTCAAGTTTTGGTCTTCTGCTTGGCCTCTGAGTGTGCTCTCAGAATCAAGTCCAGTCCTGTAGGGGAAGCATGAGGTTTAGTTCTCAGGCAAGGATCATGTTTTTCTCTTTCACACTCCAGGCAATGGCTGGTACTGAACATCTCTGGAAGAAACTGCAGCTTCTAGAACTGGTACTCCCAGCTGTTTCCCTGCTACTCTTGGAAGTCCATCTTCTCCAGGAGATAGAAGTCAGCTAATACTGCTAGCTCTCCATCAGAGCCTGGTAGTTTTATTGTTTATTGTTTTAAAGGAATCTGCATTCTGATTTCCATAATGGATACAATAATTTACTTTCCCTCCAGTATACAAGGGTCACTTTTCCTGATTATTTCCAGCAGTTGTTGTTGTTTTGTTGTTAATAGCTATTTTGGCTAGGGGTGAAATGAAATCTCAATAACATTTTGATTTGTATTTCCTTTATGATTAAGGATATTGAACATTTCTTCATTCATTTATTGACTATGTGTATTTATTCTTTTTTTTCCTTTTTTATTGTGAAAATACTGTACAGAGGGGTTACAATTACATGGGCAAGATAATGAGTACATTTCTTATCAAGCATTGTAGCCTCTTCCTTTGTTTCCCCTTCCCATCCCTTCCCATCTTCCCTCCCCCCCCCAATTCTCCCCCCCCATCCTCCCTGTATTTATTCTTTTAACAACTGTTTACTTAATCCATATGCCTATATATTAATTTTTTGGTGTTTATTTTTTAGTAACTCAATTTCTTTAGTAGTTATAGACCTATTAGAACTATTCCTTGCTGAGTAAGTCTTATTTTTGTCTGTAAGGAATATTTAATATGTCCCTTTCATCTGCTTCATTGATTTATTCAACAGAAACATTAAAAATCCTTTGTTATCTTCTACAGTATAGTGATATCAATATCACTTCAATTATTAATGTATAACTTTTCCCCTTATGCTTTGTCTATCTTGTTAAAGGTTTATCAATTTTATTATTGATCTTCCCAAAGGACTACTTTCTGGTCTCATCTTTATTCTGCTATTTTCCTATTTTCCTGATTTCTGCACTTCTACTTTTATTTTCTCCTTTTGGTACCTTTGCTCTTTTTATTCTAGTTTCTTCAGGTAAAATGACAAGCCATTAATATCATCTCTTTGTTTTCTACTTTAGTGTTCATTGCTATAAATTTCTCCTCAAGGACTGTATCAATAGCATTCCATGGTTTTTGATATGCTATGCTTTCATTTCATTCGGCCCAAAGTGCTTTCTAATCTGCTTTTCATTTTTTCTTTGACCCATGGATTATTTTGAAGTATGTTACTTAGTTTTCAAATGCTTGAATACTTCAAATATTGGTAATTATTTGTCATTAATTTCTAGTCCAATGCCACCATGATCAGGGGATATAGTTTGTGTAATCTGAATCCTTTCAAACATTTTGAGATTTCAGTATGATGGCTCAGAGTACAGTACAACATGATCAAGGTCTTATACTTTTACTGATTGTTGATAGACTATTGAGAGAAATATTGAAATCTCTGGTTACAAGTATGGGTTTGTCTATTTCTCCCTGCTTTATCTGCAAGTGTTTTTGTTCTTTGAAGTTCTGTTATTTGGGACATACTTAGGATTGTTATGATGTTCTCTTAATGAACTGACACTTCACTACTTTGAAATTGCCTATTTTATCTACCTGGGCTGGCTTCAAACAGTGATTCTCAGAACTCAGCCTCCTGAGTAGCTAGGATTATAGGTATGAACCACCAATGCCTAGCATATTCCTCTTAGCACTTCATTATTCTACTGGTTTCTTACTCAAAGTATTCTTGACAGGAAATCCATTGTCACTCCTCCCCACTACTTTCTTTTTAAAAAAAAATCATAGATTTTCAACAATTTGGTTATGACGTCTCTATGCTGTTGTTTCATCCATGTTTCTTTTGCCTGGGGTTTCATGGCTGTCTTTGATTTGTGATTACACAATTTTAATCAAATTTAGAACACTTGTAGTCATTACTTCTTTAAAATTATTTTTAAGAACCTCTTTTTCCCCTAATTTGGTGGTTTCAATTATGTGACTATTGAGACAATCAAAGTAGTCCCACTTTTCACTGTTGTGCTGTTCATTTAATTTTTTAACCTTTGTTTTCATTTTTCATAGTTTCTATTACTATACCTTCACATTC